AAAACTGAATGGAAGTCAATACAAAGTCCTCAGTGTGTGTGTGTGTGTGTGTGTGTGTGTGAGGGGTGTCTAGGTTTAGGACCAAGGTGTGAATTGAATTGAGTTTAGGTTAGTTTTAGGGTCAGGTGAGGTTAATTTTAGGATAAATGGTCAGGGTTAGGCTATAAAATTACCAGAAAATGAATGGATGTCAATCTGCGGTCCTCAAAGGGCTATAAAAACAAACCTGTGTGTGTGTGTGTGTGAGGGGTGTCTAGGTTTAGGACCAAGGTGTGAATTGAATCGAGTTTAGGTTAGTTTTAGGGTCAGGTGAGGTTAATTTTAGGACAAATGGTCAGGGTTAGGCTATAAAATTACCAGAAAATGAATGGATATCAATCTGCGGTCCTCATAGGGCTATAAAAACAAACCTCTGTGTGTGTGTGTGTGTGTGTGTGTGTGTGTGTGTGTGTGTGTGTGTGATGGCTGCAATGCAAAAGAACATTTGTATTCATTATTGCTTGTCTCCAGAACAAATAATAGTCGGCATGTATGCAACACTCTTACGAGGCGAGAACATGCTGAGCAGAGACGGATGCTGGGGGATATTACTAACATCATTAGGGTGTGTGCTCTCATTCTTTCAGGGTAACACACACACACACACACACGCACACACACTGCTGATCCAGCATAGTGTCAATGAAGATAAATCGCTGTGTCTTGCAGGTTAGACAGTGTTTCACAGGTGCAAGGTCACTTGTCGAGGTCAGAGCATGAAACATGCCGAAGTTGTCTGGTGAACTCACACACCGCTTTGTGTGTGTGTGTTGTTATTTTTACCTTCAGGAGACAGTTCCTGTGACCGGGAACGGAGCCCTGAACATACAGAACATTGAACTTGGTATTCACCCTCCATATCTGGAAGACAGAGAAGCAGGTCAAAGAAGATCCAATTGAAATACAAGCCAAGGGCTGTTAGGATTAAAATAATTAAGCGTCGTGTCTGGAACCTACCTTCAGTCCAAGAGCTGTGACGTATCTGTTTCCCATCTTGCCTGGCATCTTCGTCCCTTTGAAAACTCTGCCTGGATCCTGATTGGAGACAACAAATATCACACATTCATGTTCATGAATTACAGGAAGCCAACTGTTCGTGTTTGGCAACCTTACCCCTCCTTGACCGATAGATCCTGGTCTGCGATGAGTTTTGGTTTGACCGTGAGAGGCAGGCTGACCTTTGAATCCCCATCGCTTCATTACACCTTGGAAACCCTTACCGATGCTTTCCAAAAACACAAGAAACATATATGTGTTTTTTTGTGACAAAATTGAGGTGGATTTGTGGGTTCAAAGAGAAAAAAAAAAGCAGTTAACACGTCTGGATTATCTTGGAAAGTTAATTACAGATCTACATACAACAGAAGACGTGTAAAATGAAGGAAAGAAAGCCAAAACGTGCAACAATAAGAAGGGGAAAACTGGCAAAATGGAGCTTACGATTTGGCTGTGACGTCTATATACTGGCCAGGGCGGTAATGTGCTGCATACAGAGGAGTGCCTGAACACACAAGAGGCAAGACCGAGGTCAAATAACAGTTTTGTTGTTAACGTAAAATTCTATGAAGTTATGTTTAATACCTGGTTTGAGGAGGGCATTATCAGACACTTTAAAGTGGGTGATTTTCTCTTTTGGAGGAACTCCCGCATTCCTGAACATCTCCATGGCTTTTTCGGATTTCTGGCAATCATTGTGAAGGACAGAAAGAAGATGGACGAGATGAAATAAAAGTCGCAACAGTTGGACTTTTTAAAATATACCGTGAGCCTGTTCTGGCCATATGAGCCAAACACACAAACAAAACACACACACACACACACAACTTGCAGGCTTTTGCGCTCAGTCTTGGCAGTGAGCGTCTCTGACATTTGCTTTCACTCTGCTCGCTCTCATCGCGGCACCTTTAGTCGCTCCAAACTCTCCCTCTTCCCTTCTGTTGACTTGAAAAAATAAATAATAATAAAAAAAAACCAGCCTGCCAAAGCGTCTCCCTGCAACAAACTCTGCCTCTGACTGGAGAACGATGTGGCTGAGTGAGAAGAGTTCAAAACAACTCCACAAGTGAAACCCTGACACCAGTCTGTCAGGCTTCTGTTGAGACTCAATGAATAAATTACATCTTGACGTTTTCATTCTTTCCTTGTTGGGTTTTATCTTGRAAACAGAATATCCAGAGCATTTTTTTAAAATATCACATTTAGAAATGACCTTTACCTTTGAAGGGGAGGGAGGACAAAGTGCCCTTTATGTTCACGGAATAAATTTGAAACCATCTGTCACCTCAGTTTTCAGTTGTACTGAAGGGTTTAAAAAGCAGCCTTAAGGTTCACTATAAGAAGAAAACCACTTAAAACTTACGTTTACTTAAGTGGGTCATAAATGGCTTTATCTGAAGAGTCAAAACTGCTTAGTTATTTGACAAAGTTCAGAAGATGCTTATTTTTAGGACTATAACATTATTTTTAGTACCTGCTGGAACAGCCTGTTTATTTTCACATATTTCTGAGTTTAACCATTAATTATTATAAATGCAGACGGCTGCAATTAAATTGGGTCTCGACACAAATACTTCTTAACAACAGATTTAATGTTCGAAATAAACAAGCTGTAATAAAATAAAATACAACTATTGTGGTATTTTTGTCATTGTGAAAGATGCAGTCTTGTTTAAAGTGCCTCATAATAATAGTAATAGTGAATTAGCCCTATATAGCACTTTTCGACACTTAAAGATGATTTACAATTTTTCCTGCATTATTCATTCACACACATTCACACACTGATGGTGGTAAACTACCTGGGGCACACTGACAAAGAATATGACTTGGGTACAGAGTAAAAATCTGTATCTGACATTTACAGTACTTGAGTATCCAAATTCCTGATATAAAATGTATTTAAGTGTAAAAGCTGGAGTAACAACTTTCTACTTCTTATATTTTAAAAAAATGTAAGGACAAGTAAGTACAGATAAGAGTGTAAAAATATAAGGAGTAGAAAACGTAAAACGTCAAGTAAAGTAATCAACATTTCTACTTCAGTAAACTAAAAGTATTTGTACTTTGTTAACTCTACAACTCTGGGAAGATGTAAAACAAAACAAACAAGAACTCTGCAAACCTTTTTTAAAACGTCAACCAAAATAAATTCACCAAGAGCCACAGCGGAGCTAAAAACCTTGTATTTTTCATAAATTAGATCTAAATCCGTACGTAGAACGGCGATGAGTTCTTCCCCCCGACCAAAAGAGCAGCAGTTTTTCCATCATACTCTTCTTTGGTCAGATGCTTTATCACGTGGCAGTCCTGCACCTGGGAGAGAAAAATAAAATAAAAATAGGACGATGGGGGGGAAAAATATGTAAAACACAGCAACAATAATCAGGAAGACAATGTCAGGATCGAATAAATTAAACTGCAGCCTGATTGCAGTGTTCACCCCGCTGCCTGGTGCTCCTGAGCTCACACATAAATACATGTAATTAGATGGAAGTCCCAAACCTGAAGCATTATAATTACCCACAAGGTTGGTTTACTTTCATGAGGAGTCATTTACTACAGCAGGATAATATATCAGAGATTTCCTTTTACAGAACAGCAATAACTATTGACTTTTTAAACAGCTTCTCTATGACATACTAGCTGTATCAAGCATCAAAAATAGCAGGAGTGCATTCCACTCAGGAGTGCATAATTTAATTTTTCTACTTCTCATTTTGCACAGATCATTACCACTACAGCTAGAAAGGAAATGACTAAATGATGAGGCCAAAATGTGGGAGCCGAGGTGGATATTAGTCCCTTTTGTGGCTTCCACTCTGATAATAAGGGGAAGATGACAAAATTATAACATTTTAGAAGTGTTTTCTTTAGYAGGGTTGTAGTCATTTTCTATGAACTTTACACAAACGGCCGGTAAATGACGAGATACAGAATAAAATAAAAATGTAAATTATCTACAAGCAAATACTGCACATATATACTGTATATTGACTTCTGGTTATCCAGTGTACTACTTCACATTTCACATTTTTATGCTCATTTTTCTGGCTGCGTCTTGTTGATTTTTCTCTGAAAGCTAACGTTCTCTTTAAACCAGACTTTTACACTTGTTCAGAAYAGGCCTGGCTGCTACAATAATAAGTTCTGGTAGCAAAAAGTCACCATCAGTGAACAGGCTTTTTTTAGTAACTCTTTCCAAAAATTATCAGCCTTTATTGACCCCATCCTAAACAATTTAGTGTTCTTAAAAACCACTGAAAGAGAATTTTCTTCCACTTCTACTGTCTCCTACACTGAATTATAATCAATAATGAGGACAGCAAGTTTGCATTCACTTCACTTTACTGACAGATCACTTGAGTGTAAAACATGATCTGAATAAACCTCGCTCCAAAGATTTCCTGTTTAACCCTCATTTCAAATAGAGTATTTCTTTAAGTAAAGTGAGGTATTTCAAACATAGAAACAAACCCTGAATGTGAACGTTTGTACAGTACATCTTTATTAATTGCTACTCTTTCACCCTGCTCAACAGAATCACAATTACAATTACAATTTATTGTTTGTGACCTGCAGGTCATTTCACACCAACTCTAATTAATATTCCCGAAGAACGCCTGAGATCTCTTTAGTTAAAAAGCTGCAGCATAACACACAATCCTACCTGTAACATTGTGACAACACCTCTTTCTCCCTCTTTAGTCCAGTAAGGAGCCATCCCCAACTTGACAGCAATTAGCCCAACTCTTTTACTTTCTGGGTGGAAAAGAAAAAGATTGTAAATGTTGAAGTAAACAGGAAGAAACTCTCCTGATGACACTGTTCTATACTAATCGTAGAAACCCACCCGGCGTCCACTCGTGTCGCGGCCAGGGCTCATCTTTGAGTGGATTGAGCCTATCTTTTGTTACTTGTTTGTTTTCTTCTGCCGTGATTCTCCTTATAAACTTCTGGTTGTCTTCTGTGAGGTGTTCGTCAAGCCAGGTGTGCACTGTTCTGACATCACCCACTGACTGGACAGGCCTGGAAAAAAAAAAGGTTAAAAGTAAACTGAAGCAATTGTGGTTTTGTTGACTGACGTTCATATTTTGCAAAATATTTTTGACTAATTAAAAATATATATAAGTTAAAAATTTGCCATTGAAAGCTTGTGTGTTTAAAGGTTTAATATCATGGATCATCTTAGACTGGTATTTATTTGCTTTAATGTCAAACAAAAAAAGATTAGGTCTATTGATAAAAAAAATACAAACTAAAAAAATAAAATAAAATAAAAAAGCGTAGACGTTGGGAACACTATCCCCAGCTCATTTTATTTATTGAAACCAAATATGAAAAGAGGACTTCTACATTACTTGTTTGTGATAATAAAAGCTATATTGTAAAAATGTATTTTAGGGAAGCAAGACATCAGCTGCATAGATTAGATGCATAGAACAAAGATGTCCCAAACTAACCCTCGAGTATTCTAAAAACCTCCTGATGCATTTCAGTAATCCAGGTAGTAAAATCAAAAAAACACTTTAGTTAAAAAGCTGCAGTATATATATACATATACATACACTTATTTATTTATTAGGGGTGCAACAATACATGTATCCGTATCAAACCGTATCGAACAATACAGATTTTAAAAATTTATTTAACAACTTGTCTTCTGAAGATGCTCTGTGTTGAAGGACCAGTGGATCYGTGTTCGACTACTCCACCTAGGCTGCATTTTTGAGCACAGATCCACTGAGAAACTTGCTGTTTCAGCAACATTTAATTTAAAAACTGTACTTTTGGAGGTTAAACAAATGTTCATAATTAATTTAAATAAATTACAAGTTAAAAGGGGCAAGGAAATTTCTCTTTTTTGTATCGAAAAAATATCGAACCGTGAGACTAAAGTATCGAATCGTTCTTGTATTGTTGCACCCCTAATATATATATGTGTGTGTGTGTGTGTGTGTGTGTGTGTGTGTGTGTGTGTGTGTATTACCATTATTTAATTAACCTCTCCTGACATCTGTTAATTTAGGAGCCAAAGTTCTGTCTTTAACAGCTTTTGCCTTCAGTCTGTTATTTTCTTATAACAATCTTGTTACTGTAACACACCATCATGTCTATATCCAAACTTTACTCAATATTTCACACAAACAGCTTATAGTTGTGATCAGGAGTGTTGCCTTGGATTTTAAAGGTTTTTTTTAGAGCTAAACTAAAGGAGGACTGCCTCCACCTTTTGAGACTGATGCTAGTTTTCTGATAGTGTTGTGATTTTTGTCAAAGTCATAACTTTGCTTCACTAAAAGAAATAGCTCATTGTTTGATGTTGTCTGCCCAGTAGTAAAGATGCCATACTCATATTGTTCCAACAGTGCTGAGCTTTGTCTGTTGCCTATCAACAGGATAAACACAAACTAAGACTTATATGACATGTCTAATATAGAAATGTTAGTATTATATTGCTCATCACATTAATTTTGACATCCGTACTTTTGTCATTTTACACTGATTGCATTCATATTAAGTAACTTTATTGATTAGCAGCTGTAATTGTTCCTAAATGAGTGCATTAGCCAACCTCGTAGAACAAAAATGTCAGCTTCACGCTTGTTAACGATACAAACTTGAGTCTCACAACGCCGTAAGAGTTGTGGCAAATAAAAGGTAACTACTAATGAACAAGAAAAATATAACGTTAAGTTTTTTGTCTAAAAAACGACAGCATGCTGCTGTTTTCATAAGAAGTGGGCTTACATCCAGTAGTCTGGAACCAACTTTAGCATAACAGCTACTGCTAGCCATTTAGCAACATTACCTTACACCAGCTGACCGAGAAGAAAAAAGCTGAGCTCCTCGCTGAAGAATAAACCGATATCCCCGTGTTGCCATAATGTTCCTTATTCCATGTACTGATAAATAAATCCTGAACTACAACATGTAAAATATAAGGACGTGTTGTCGTATAACATCTACTAACACATGCCAGTTCGTCCTTTCGATGTCACCAACACTTCCGGTGCGCAACCAAAATGGTTCCGCAGCACCAGAGTTACTGTCAACTGTTCCGCTTACTTATACAGTATATAAACACACACACACACACACACAACTTGCAGGCTT